TACTTTAGCCTATCTGCACATGCTGTGACTGAACAAACTGTTGATCTGAAAGTGAGATTTAAAAAATATGTTTTACTTGGCATAACTATTGTAAATACAGAGTGGCCTATACTGTTTTACCCACATAACTTCCTACCAAATCAACTTCTCAGTCAGTGTTGGGGTCTTTGATGGTGATTAATACGACCCAAGCAGCGTTACCTTTCCCGCAGGCTCCCCGCTGAATGAAGAGGACAGGTGGCTGCTGAAGCTTCTGCGCGCGGCGGCTGACCCTCTTCAGCTCGCAGATATTCCGGTAGGACACCCCATCGCTTCCACAAACCGGGTCGGTGGTTTTGCACACGCAAGTCCCACTCTTGCTTCTCCTCCTCACCGTGATACTGTATCCCACCCCGCCAGGGATCGAGCAGTCCAGCCCCTCTCCGCACACCGGGTCCCCGAGCTTCCCCAAGCCGCCGCAGCCTTCACCCTCGCCGGACGCGCACACCGTGCAGCAGTGGCAGGCGTCGAGGCTCTGTCCAGCCGTGCAGTACGCCGGTATCCGGGGACACATCGACTTGTCACACCGAGCAGGACATCCGACAACATACCGGGTGGAGATCTGCGCATCTGCCGGCACGGATGAAAAGACTAGCATTACGCACAGAAGTGACCAAAACATGGTATACAACTAAAGTCTTCAAATTTAAATATAAAGTTTTTAAAAAGTTCCTAAAGCTCGCTCTCTGCTTGCAGTGTGATGGGATGAGAGAGCTCAGTAGTAATGAGGGGGGAGTCACTTGAGCTGGAGAGGCATTTAACTGAACTTCACTGCACAACGAATTACGCGACTCTACGTTTGTACTGGCTCCGCATCAGACGCAACTCACTTTCTAGATAATCACAACAAGCCTGTTGATTGGTGCGTTCACGTAACGTAGGAATCAGAAGAACTGGGTTATTGATTGGTCCTCAGAAGTGTGAGGGTAAAATACAAATAAAATAAATAGCAGAAAAAAGCCTGCATGGAAGTTGAACTACGCTGCAGCATACTGTGTTGATACAAGAGCTGAATCACTCAAATGTAATATTTGAAAGTAGCAGCATGGTAAAAAGACTTGCCAACTATTATGTAAATGATGCTTGCTCCTGTTTCCCTCCAAGGTGTATTGACAAGGTCAAGGTTATCCAACAGAACCTCTTGCAGAAAATCAGAGAAAAGCTCCAAGGTCTTTCATGGGAGATATTGGCATCAACTCGGATTTTGTTATTTACAAAAAAGAAAATGTACAACCCAGTAGGGGAATGAGCCACAGAGCCCAGATGTTTTATAAGCGGCACAGACATCCACACATCCTGCAGGCCTAGTTCCTGCTTGTTTTGTGTACCTTTACTACTCCCTTTATGAATTAGTCACTCCTGGCATCCCCTCAAGCCCTCTGGCTAATTGGGAAAATCAGTAGTGGAAAAAAAGTTGGGTGGATTGTGGGATTTGTGGAGTGAATGTAGCACTTTGTGAACAACCCTTATAAACAGTCAAATTTGTTCTAATTGGAAAATTGCACGAGCACATTTATTTATTTATGATCCTATCCCAGCTCTGTGGGTTATAAGCACCCCGCTAGCAGGAATATAAACAACATCTAATGGGGATATCCAAATAACTATAATTACAGCTCCCCACGTTCAAGTGTAAATAACTCAACAAGTAATCTTAATTTGTATTTCTATACGAATCTGCCCTACATTGGAAAACTAAATTTCTCAGAAAATACAATAAAATAAGCTTGACATTTATTATTTGTTAAAATAACACACGTTCCACATATTAAGGGAGCAACCTTTAGTCCTGGTGGTGAACAACAAATCTCTGTTAGGTTTAAACGTCTGCTGTGAGCTGTAAAGGAATCCAGTTAAAAATGAGGCAATGAATCAGTGTCATAAACCGCCTCAATATACTGTGATTGAGTGCAGGCAAGAGGTTTAATACATGTCTAAAGGTTGGAATGACTGGGCAGGGGAGCACCTCTCAGATGCATTGCCTTAAAATGGAGAGAATTGAGGCTCCCTGCGGTGCACCAGAGCTCAGGGTAACACAAGCCTCTCTATCCTAAAGGCAATTAAAGCGGGGCATAACGGGATAAAGGGCAGTCATATGCTCTGACTGAACTTCCTTGAACAGGAAACAGAGAAAGTGTACCATTTAAACTTGTTTCCCGGAATTCCAGGATGGCTAATTGTTTTCAGAGCACAGTGTCATTTTAGAGCATGACGACACACACTGTTGACCCATCTAAAAAAAGAATAAGTATAGACCTTGAAGCATCTCCAGAACCATTATGTTGCAATACTTGTAGAGCACAAGGATGTAGGCGAGAAGTGGTGGGAAAATCGTCAGATGAAAACAACCTCATCCTTAAGGAACACCCATTCTCCAACCAAGGCTAGAGTTTAACCAATGATGGACTCCACTGAGGTCTGTGTGATCTCTCCAGTCTGCAGTGATGTCTCTGGCTGTGAGTCGGGCCCCTGAGAGTCCAAATGGGGCTTCGCTTCCACGTCGAAGCCACACCAAAGTGTTGCATCCTCCAATAAGGAGCTGAGATCTATGAGAAGAATGAGTAAAGACAACTTGCTTCCTGACGAAACACACCAGCCATGTTGTTTTCAAATCTTTCTGTGAAAACACTTGACATCACACTTGTCAACCCTCTGGTGCCTTCAAATGCAGGATCCCCATCACGCTACACACTCAGAATGCAGCCCAGAATGTGTCGCCGCTGGTTATCTGACAGATTAAAGAGGCTTTACATATTCAGTGTTGCTGGATGACCTCACTTTGTAAATATGTCTACACATACTGCAGCTATAAAGCCAGAGGCACCTCATTAGGAGCTGATGAATGATAGGCAGACACGCATGTCTAATTCATCAGTGTCCAGGAAATGCATACTTTGTGCAGTGATATTAACTCAAGTAGTGTACACTTGTGAGTTACTTCATTTCATATGACTTTATAGTTCGACACAGATGGACCCCTCTATGATTCAAAGAGGAATATTGTGCTTAGCTTTAGTGCAAATTAAGATTTTTTCAAACAAAAAACATACAACCCTAGAATAAAGGTTGAATAATCAATACCATAATAACATTTGCAGGGGCTATTTTTGCTTTACGAATGCTTTTGAAAATAAGTAAATATTTAGTTCATTCACACTATGTACATGAAAAGAAAAATATATGTTTTCATATTGATACTCAAAACTCTTATATTTGTTCAGCTTTCAGGGGAATCTTGAGATCATTTTATCATAACACATTTGTGAACTGATTGGGCACTTATCAGTTTTAACTGTTAAATTAATGTATCATTTATTCAATTATTTGTTGGTAGATTAGTACACATATATGCTTACAAAAAATAAATGTCTCCTAATTTAATTTCTATAAATTAATACATGTGTGCTTCTGTGCTTGTTGCAGGTGTTTCCCAAGAGGATGTTATATCACTGATAACTCAGTCATTGTGTCAGTACATCATGTATAACTGATGACTTGTGCAGCAGCAAATGGAAGAGAACCAGAGTGAAGATATTCTCTCACCACAAGAGGGCAGAAGAAGCCTTGAAGAGTTACCCCAAATATTGTTTTGATTTCCTCCAGCTCTGACTTTACCCTCAGAGACTAATTGTGCCGTGTGAATATATCAAAGCAAAACACAGAATGTTTCTCCAGGAAACCTGAGCACATTTTCAGTGTTTATTTCTTTCAAGTCATCCACATAATAAATAGAGACAATTCAAACCGATTACACCAGACTGAAATGGGGTGGAACAGCTTGACTAGGTTGGTCTGAAATTAAGCAGGCACTTAACAAAAAAAGGTTAGTGTGTATTATTTAACAGGACTACAGTGAAACATCCTTAAATTAAACCATAAGGCAGCTGCCTGCTGCTGGGTTGGCAAAAAATGTACACAGCATTAGATTAGGAAACACCTAGAGCATATAAAAAATAAATCTGCTTCACGCAGCTCTATTCTGCAAACACACAACACAGCCGCCGTTAATAAAAACTAAAAAACAGAAAGACAATCTGAGGAATCATTAAAAAGTTAACATGCAACGGAAGAGTCTGAGCTTAAAGGTTTTTGTCCGTTTAACTATGAACCAAATAGTTTGCATGGTGTGAATACTCATCTTCAAATGATGGACTGCAGGTTTTATTAAGTGACACAGTTATTATCTGTAAGGAACCTTACCTATCTGACAGAGCCCTATTGTTGAAGTTTTTATTACTATTAGAATTACAAAATGCTTACAAGCGTAGTCCTTGTCTGTATTGTTTGCCTCCTGCGTCCTCGAGCTTCACAAAGTCTGGTATGCGTGAATCTAGCTTGCAAAAGATGCTGGTTCTGAACTGAAGTGATGCATGTACTGTTTTAGCTTTTAAAATAACAATAACTGATCAACTGTAGAAACTAGATTTACATGTGAGCTACTTGTTCTTCGTAATTATTCTTTCTGACTGAATGTGGCTGAAGTGCATTATACTACACAATGGCTTATGTTGAATACCTACAATGTTTGCATCTTGTCCAAGAAGAGTCCAAAATCTTTGAAATTGAAATATTACATTCAATCTCAGACTCAGGTTTAAACCATATCTCTATTGCCGGCCAACATTAGAAGTGAAATCCAGGGTTACAATGTGAGTGTATGAATGGACTACACACTCTTAATCAGTATATAGGAGGTGATGAATATCCATTCCTCAGTTTGAACACCTTTTCTCTCTAGGATACAGGAAATAGTTTGCAACCATGACATTTCCCTTATTTTCTTGGCACAAAGTGGTTTACAAAAATCCTCCATCACATCACTTCACCTGTAGAGGTTCAAATGAAGCTCTGTCATTGAATTCTAATCAGCACACAATTCAAATGTGTGGTTTTGATTGACAACATCATCTTGTAAATACACCATTGTAATTGTGACAGCGGAATACACACACACATGAAACTGGGTCGTCTTCTTTGGCAAGTTCAGTGGTGGACCCAACTTCTTTCTTTAGCACACTAACGGAGGAAGTTTGTGACATTATAAATTGTCCGCCAACGTCTTCCCATTTTTTTTTATTACCAGTCTCACGGTTTCCTTTTTTTAAAATCGCTGTCAGCATCCAACCTGAAAAGCAAGTTTCAAAATGTCCAGTGCAGCGTCTCAGACCTCGCTCACCGGCAGGTCGGCGTCATCCAGGTCCAGGGGCGGTTCAGGCATATGGGGCTCGAAGCTGCTCCGCCGTCGCCACGGTGACTCCTCGGGGTGATTGATGGTGGTCTCAGGTGGGTGGGGGGTCACTTTGCCAGGCGCGGTTTCTCCTGCAGGGACAGGCGCGCTGGCGTGCGGCTGTGACTGGGCCGTGGCAGCAGACTCATGAAGTGCTCGCTGTCCCACGCCAGGCTGCGAGCGTGGACCGCACGGGACAGCAGCCCCCCACTCTGGGTAGCATGGTGGCATGGCAGATATGGGCGAGCGAGGGGCGGGGGGGCCCGCGGGGCTGCGGTAGAAAGTGGAACGGCCGTGCTCCTGCAGCAGAAACAGCAAGAGGACACAGAGAGAGCAGGAACAAAGACAGTGGGTGTTAGTAAGCAACTTGGAATCCTGTGGAGTTTAATGGAGAAACCCAAAGTTACAGACTTGGAATTAGCACCGGCATGTGGAGCCTGACGCAGATTAAGCAGAGTTGGTACTGAAGGTTGAAGATGCTGAAGAATGTAGCATTGCTAGAGAGTAGAGATGGTGGTAGTAGTAGTAGTAGTAGTAGTAGCAGTAGAGGTAGCAGGAATAGTGGGAGTAGTGTCAGCAGGTTTTAGTTTGGGTAGTCTCAACAGGTTGAAGTGGAGGAGCAGAGTGCCTTAGAAAGCAGCTGTTGGTTGTTGCTCATTATTTCACAGCTTTTCATTGTCAGATTTCAATCTCTGTAAAAGAAAACAGAAGCATAGGAAAAAGAAAGTAGTCCCAAAAGCAGAGAGGGATGGCACTGAGAAGTTGGTGTTATGTTGGTTAGAAAAAAACATCCCAACTATAAAGCATCAAGACCCAAATATAACTAATAAGATCCACATTTGTAGTTTCTACAACAGCAGCACTGTGACTTTAAAAGGTTTGCGAAAATGGTCAGTAAATCCACAAAGTACCACTTAAGCATCACAAAGTGTAAGAATACATTTCCTAGCACAAGGATATCTAACAATCTTAGGGACTATGGAGACTCACAGATATTTAAGAGATGCTTAATGCTGATTTCAAAGGTCAGAAACCAAGCTTATACTAAGTTTTAGGGGCTATTAAGCCGTCGGATCAGATAATAAGCAACTTTCACACATCAACATATTCACATGCAAATCAACAGACTTCTATAAAAACACATTAGTTTGTGACTCGGGCATTGTTGAGTCCTCATTTCAAACTGTTAAAAAACACTGAGCACACAGAAGGTAAAAGAATTTCCACATGTAAACAAGTATCCTACTATGGTGTATATCAGAAAGAGAAAGAAACATACAGGCAGCGAACAGGAGGGAGGAGGAGAGACAAGCAGGATGTCACACATCTAAGACAGGTACACAGCTGCAGCAGACTGCAGAGACAACAGAGCATGAGGGGGAGAGAAACACAAGGTGTGAAAGACCCATGGACCCAGTCACAAAGACACAGAAACAGGCTTCACACATCAGAGCTAAGCTGGTCAGGTAGGTCATGCAGTATGGGTTGTATATGAATTCATGTATATTCTTATTTTCTTTACACGGAAGCATCATCGATAACAGTGAAGACGGGTGGAAGCTGTGCAGGGAAAGCTATAAAGGAGGAAGGGAAGGTGGCGGTGACTGCAGGTCTCTCCGAGGTTAGTTCGTCATATCTCAGCTGTTAAAAGAGTACAAATATGACTTGATTGCATTTCCTTAACTTGAGGTTCGCTTGATTTCAGTTGCCCTGCTTGTGGAGAATGTCATCACATGTGAGGGAAGATAAATCAAGCCCACCTCAAGTCAAAAAACTCCTGAAACAAGATTTTCCTTTAAAAATAGGAACTGTCTGAGTGCACGGAGGGAAATAGGCTCAAACTCTGAGCTCAGCTTAAAGTGACGGTGCGGCAAAAAGTAAAAGGAAAGCAGAGGAGGAGGAGGAGGAAGGGTGGATGAGAGAAGCGGCGAGGACAAGGGCGTGAAGGGAGGAGCGCTTGTTGGGTTATCAGAGGCATACTTAGGATGTGGTTGGAACAAAAGGAGCATCAGATGTGCCGTCAGATCTGATCTGCTCTTATAATATCGACAACCGCAGAGGGGCCAGCCAGTGAGTGGAAAACAGTATTAAAAAAAGGTCAACTTATAGCTTAAGGGGGGGGGGGGATTTAGACGAGCTGACATACGTGCTGCTGCACTCCCCGATTCGAGACGTATACCTCTGTATACAGGGGTTCGACAGCCGTCTGGCCTGCCGCATCTGCAACAACACAGTGCAAAGCAGTATTAGAGCAGATGGGCTGTCGGCCCACAGGGAGAGGAGCAGGTGGAGAGAACGTGAGGAGGAGAAAAGCACAGAAGAGGGGGAGAGAGAGAGAGAGTAGAGGAACATGGGGGTGAGAGTAAAACAAGCAGAAGAGAGAGAGAGAGAGAGAGACACAGGAGGGAAGAAAGAGGGGACTGTAGAGAAACTGACAGCCAGAGGACGTCAGAGGACACGCTCTCCTCTGCAGTCAGGATGTGGAACGTCCTCCTGCTCAGCTCGGGCTGATGGAGCTCATTATGTGGCTCTACAACTCAGGGAGAGTTCCCACACACATTCTAAGGTACAGTAAGTACAGTTCAACATTTATGGCCTACTCATGACTTACTTCAGTAAAAAAAAAAATCTGTATGAGGGGGGGCATGGTGGCTCAGGGGTTCAGGCCCAAAACACGCAACGTCTCTCTCCCCCGTTATTTGTCAATTAGTGAGTGAGAAAAGAACAACACGGCCAAAAAGCTAAATCTGTATTTGGCTGTTGGGTATTGCGTAGGGGTGAGGCAAATGCTGGAAAGGCTGTTTCAAGTTCAAGGTAAATACCTTGAAAATAGCTCATTAAAAAGATCTATTAATACATATAATCATTTTCTTAGGGCCTGGTAGCAAATGCACCTGTATGGCTGTGAGCAGAATTAAGCTCGATTCATCTTTTCACAGCCGCAACTGCTGGGCTAAATATATTGGAGATACATCAATAAAGTCACGGGGGGGGGGAACTCATCTGAAACAAAGTGTCTGCTTCTTGGCATGAGTTTGAGATGAGGTCAAAAAGGAGATTCTCTGCAGCTGTGTGAGATCTTGTGAGAGCAAGAAACTGCAAACAGTAATCAATCAATGGCATGAGTGTCACAACACAAACAAGTCATGGACTTGACTCTTTGGACCACTAGATGATGATCAAGTCTGAAGTCATGAAGTCTGAGCCCATACGATGGTGACCCTGTTTTATAGTGTACTGCAAAAAATACATACTGTAGCAGCCGACCTCCCGGGCCCCCGCTGGGCCACGATGGCCCCTGAGACGGCCTTGATCCAGCTGTGCATGTCCTCTGGACTGTCCGCCTGGTGGAGACATAACAGAAAAGAATAGTGAGTGACAGAGAGAGAAGAAAGCAATCCCAGGGTTTGAGTGAGAATCAACCGGACATTCCTTGGAGCTGAAAGAAAGCGTCCTACCTGTATGTAAAACGTCCTTGATGTCGTGACGACTTCAAACAGATTATCTCTCATCATAATATCGCTGCAACAAAAGTGGGAAACAAGTCAGATCATATTTATCTCATCTCTATCTCTATCTGAGTCAGGAGAGGTACACACCGTCCTCCTGGACAAAAGGTGTTTCTGATGTACGATGGGAGAACGCTGGGACACGTTACATACCTCTGTTTGCACTCCTGGACTTTGTGAACTTCCTTCAGTGGGATCATTCTCAGAGGTTCTTTCTCCTGAAGGAAGGACAACAAGAGTTCATTAGCAAAAGAAACCAAATGTTACATATCACCATTTGCAAGTATATCAGAAGTTCTTGCTGAGGTTGTTTTTGTTTCATTTGGACAGAAGACCTTGAACTGCTTTAACGTAACATACTGTATACTAACGGTTGTAACTTTGTTTTCTTTCATACAGCAGACAGAGAGTCTATGTCCTAGGGGCCTGTTGACAGCCAAGTAAACGGATAGAGCTGTCAAATAAGGGCAGACCCAGACAAGGGCAGGTAGGGATGTGTGGTATCATCCTGAGGACAGAACGTGTGTGTGTAGTACGTATGTGTGTGTGTGTGTAAGAAAGGCCGGGGGGGAACAAGGCATGATCGGACATGTGAAGTGAAAGCATTGAATTCCACAGGCTGCAGATAAAACATGTTGGAACGCAGGTCTGTGTGTTTGCTGTTACTCTGCCTCAGACTGTGGGGGTGCATCCATAACCTCATTCATCATCAATACAAACATTCCCTAAGGCTAAACAACACTTAAATCAAAGTTCATTACCAAATCTGACTTGAAGTAACTCATTGAGTTTTCCTCCAGGAGGAAATACCGCCTTTTCCAGTTCCTCATCTGGAGAAAAACAAGGAAAAGATATTCAGACATTTTGCATATTTTCAAAGCAAACAATATGAATATAAGCACTCATTTCATTCTAGTTATAATCTAGTCCCAGAGACATTTTACAATGCCTACATACATAAAGAGGAAGGTGATTTATCACAGTGGCTTCATTTCTTTAGGCTGTTCTTTATATATCGGAAATCTCATCATCTGACATTCCGCAAGTCATAAGACCTAAATATCCTTCCAACATAAAGGTGATAAATCATCTTGTTTACGTGGCTTTAATTGAAAAAATGATATTTTTCATAAATTGCTTTGCACGTCCATGTTGGAGTTTGCTAAATGCAGTGCTTTGTTGCACTTTATGCCACCAGTGCTGCAGCCAAAAGAAGTTTAAGAGTGACCATAAACATCTCTCTGAGCGATACCAGCAGGCCGTGTGAAACAAAGTGAACTCACCACCGCTCCCTGCTTGACGCAGTAGCCAGACTTTATGACGGTGTGTTCCTGAGTCGGCCTGCCCAGGAAGTACGGCAGCTGGCTGTGAGAGCGATGCATGGCCTCACGCTCCGCTTTGTCGGCACCGTCACCTCTGTCGTGCTTCAGGGTGAAGGACAGCGGAAAGATTGTGATTGTTAGTTCCAACAAAAAACTAAAATAAAAACACCAGCACAGATTTTCAATCAATGTCAGACTAATTTAAAGTACAAGGTATTTATATTACAGAAATGTAAAAACAGAAATGTAAAAACATTTTCTAAGAGATCAAGGTGATGATTTGAAATATTGTATTTGTCATACAGACCGTCATAAACCAATATTCAGTAAAAAAAAAAAACGTTTGTTATAAAAAATCAGCTCATTCTAACATTTTGAACTGGGAATTTAGCTCGACTAATGACTTATCAATAATCTAAATATTTGCGTAATCTATAGCTTTAATAGTTGAAGGACATTTTAAAAAGTCAAATGTGTTTGGCTAAAGTTCGATTTTCCTACTTTTATTTCGAGCAATATTATATTAAAATCTATATGACGTGTTTTGCTTTTTTTTGGTAGCTGTTGTGTTTCCTTGTAGGTTTAAAATCTTTGAATGGAGTACATTCTGCATTCATGTAAATACAGACATGTGTGTCGTGTTTACCTGTGTCTGGGTGACAATGGGGACTCCTGCAATGATCTCTGTCCGATAGGAGATTTGTTTCTTGGGCCCTACGACGTCCGGCAAAGACTTGAGGTTCTCTGCATTCTGCTGCCCATCACACGACTTTGGCACCTTAGGAAAACACACATCAGAGGTTTGGTGACATTTATTTATTGAACACACACATTTTGACCAACTTGTGGAATTCAGATGTACAATAGAATACATCGTTTCCTCTATAGTTGAAAAACAGTGTGCCTTTACCACATTTAATATCCATTTCCTTTCTGTTATGCCTCATGGAGAACAATGGAAAAAAGTCCTTTATCCCAGCACTCAGTAAAACAATACTGCATCCTGTTAGTCACGCTCTGACTCACTCATATCTAGTTTCTTGACAGTCTGCTCAATTCTACAGAAGAGGAAGGAATGAAAGTTTCTCTGAGTGATAACACATGAACAGATCAGTGGAGCTGACTCAGGAGAGGTGTGTCTTATGCTTCTCTGCTCTGCAAGCTGTGTGTCTATGTGTGTGTCGGTGTGTGTTCGTCTTACAGTGATTTTGGTGGCTTTATTGAGAGCTTCAACCCAGTCCACAAGGTCCTGCTGGTCGTTGGCCTGCAGGAAGAACTTCCTCATCCCAGCATTGATGACTAATGGATCATAAAAAAAGAGCAGTGGGAACAATAAAGATAGTGAAAGTATATTGAGACACAATCAGACTTCATTCCCGACACTTCATCCTCCGAATTCACTCTGAATCACAAGGAAATACACGGTAAAGTACAGGAGTAGCATGAAGTGGGTGCTGACTAATTGCTGGGGTGTCAGCAGCCACAGATTTCTCTGGAAGTGAACAATAACTGAGCCAAGGGACTCCCCCACACACTAGCAGCACTCCCTCTACATGTGGAGGACAGGGTTCATACACTTTTTCACCAATGATATTCAATGACTTCTCCATGACCTTTACCTCATTTTCCATGACCAAAAACATTACTCTTTCTCAGCGGTAACACTGAAAATAGTTTATTTTAACATGGAACAGGAAAATAAGGTCTGCATATGAAACATGTTGTGCCTATCTAAAACAAATCAAATAGTAGGCTTACTAGCTTCTACAGGCTAAAGCAACTAAAATCTCTCACCAGCAAAACACCTCGTCAGTTAAATGCCATTTTACGTTTCATTACTATACGATACAGTATTTATTATCATTATAGTATTACTATTTCGGCTATTAGATCAAATATAAATTATATTTGATGCAACTTTAGTTATATTGCCATGACTTTTCCAAAACTTTGGGAAAAATATTGTTTTCCATAACTTTTCCATGGCCTGGAATTAGCATTTCGAATTTCCATGACTTTTCCAGGTTTTTAATGACCGTAAGAACCCTGGGAGGATGACCCAGCTGCTTCAGTCTGCCACCACCTTCCCTCTTCCAACCAAGACAGAGGGAAAAAAAGCCCATGGCTACCAACCATTACATATTCTCACACATTTTCACACCCATGTGAACATGAGAAAATGTCCTTTTCAAATCACAAAATAAATGTTTGCGCCAAATGCTGATTAGCTATGGATCAGGATTCAGGAGCTGAAAGAACTCAAGTCTCTCTCTCTCTCTCTTCCATAAATCTGCAGCTCAATCCCTGCTTGTGTCTCTTCTATTTCTCTTTGACACCACGAGAATGAATTACATTGAAGCTGGACTGGTCAATCTGGCGGGGGCGAGCTGCAAAAGGCTAAGGGAGCTCAAACTCCGTGGCACAATGAGGACCATTCTTCCTTGGTCTTTTTGTCCAGCTTTTAGACACACGCAAGACATCTTCTTTTCCACTTCAATGTAAAACAATCTGTCTGCAGATTCATTTTGACTTCAAATGTGTTGTTTGTATGTTTGGAAGAGCTAACTTACGTGGTAGTGGTGAAAGTGTGGTGGTCTCTAGAGCAATGGGAAGAACAATCTGGGAGGGTATCAGATCTGACTCATAGTTAGACATGAGAAAACAATGTGTGCTTCTGAGAAACGCAGCCAAGCAGCAAAGTTCACACGACGCTCCGCTCGGATGTCTCTCCCCACACAAAAGGAACAGACCCATAACCATCATCATCCCAGATTTCAATCAAGTCTCTATTCCTTACTGTAAAAACATCTGTACGTGTGTGACGTCTGTAACTTGGACGTCGCTAAATACTTCACCACCCTATGTTTCTTGTTGCTCGATGCAGGAGGAGGGGGAGCACCAGAGTTCGTAGATATTACCAAAACATGTGGCGTAAAACGGCCGTTTAAAAATAACTTCATACATCTCAGAATCAGGTTCCGATTAGGATGCAGGCATCCTGTCCAAACCTCAACAAGGCAACTGGTGCGCACACAGAGCCAGACTCAGTCGCTCATCACACTGCTTCCTGCTATAGAAGCAGATGGAAGAGGAGGAGAGGGGCTGGTAAACAATGACAGGGATTGGAGGTGCACTGCTAAATGACCTGGGAATGGATTGACCACAAAGGATAAGATGGTTTACGATACGATACGATATTACTTTATTTGTCAGATCAAGTCTGAAATTTGACTTGCGTCACAGCAGCTCCATGTCCAACATCAACAGTATCAAGTATCCAGACACAATACATGACACACAAACAAATTGGACAAATGTAAAGACAAACTATCTTTGTTGCAAAAGATTCACAACAGACATTCAAAAACGAGATATTTTCAAGCAAAACCCACCCAAGGTATAATATTTGCATGCATCAACATTACTCGGTTGTGATGTACCTCAAAGGCTATTGGTATAACAAGATATAATGGACCACAAGCCAATGAAAACAATAAAGGTTTAAAACGATTTAGAACAGCGTTTCCGCCAAGGGAGCGTTTTGCCGTCATTTGTAAAAATATTAATAATTCGAGAGAAGATCGAGAGTTTTTATTGCTTGAAATGACGAAAGGAAAAAGGACATCCCTCTGTTGGAGGGGCAAAGGAGTCTGGTGGGATTCTTTTCGGAGTATTGAAGATCGTTTCCCCGACATCGAAGGTGCCTGCTACAGGACAACACGGAACGTGCGCGATTTGGAGCTGCGAGCGCGCCGGAACCTCGCAGCGGCGAAACTGAGGCTCCGTGTTAAACTGTGCTAACATGAAGAGTGAAAGGTGAAAGTGCTTCTGAAAGGCTCCTCTGCAGCAACATATGGATGGAGACATTTCCAATTGCTGGGCTTCAGATTTAAAAACATAATCCAAGAGACGCATCAGGTTGTTTAAGGTTATGTAATCCAAAAGCATTACTAAAATAGTTGAACCTAACACGGATCACTAGCTGCTGCAGCCTCCAGCATCTTTATGTGTTGGCTAAACAGATGGTGTAGGCTGCCTGGTCAATGGTGGAGAGAGTTTGTAGAGAGCAGGGCTGAAAAGGGTTTAGAGGTTGAGGAAGGACAGTAAACATTTCTCCCTTTGGTTATATTAGGTGTACTTAGCTTAGTCAACATGTGATAAATCACACCACCACTGCTGCTGCTGTTAGCAACGCATTGCAGGCAAGTTCCAAACAAGTTTATTAGAAAAAGTTGATTCACCGCTTAATATGACTCATAATGTCAATCATATTTTCCAAAACACATTAGCTACTCCTAATGTAAATGTTAAAGGATTTCAACTGTAAGAGACAACAGTGAAATCTTTCTTTATAAGGTATATCATTTGACTCAAATTAGTGTTCCCAAGAGCCGCTTTCACACCAAGTACTTTGTCGTATTTAGTTCCCCCATGGAACTAAGTACAGATCGTGTTCACACCGGAATAAGTTCCTGAGGGAAGATTACCCAAATGAAGCCGCTGACGTCACTTCTTCTTCTTCTGCTTTGGGTTTACTGGCAGGCCGCAAACAACTTCACGGCGTATACTGCCACCCGAAGTCCCCGGCCGGAAGTCCCCAGAGTTGGGGACTGGCTTCAGTAGAAGCTGCTGGGAGTCCCAGCCTTCTGAGTAAATCGCCAGGAGTGCCGACACTTCATCTCCACAGCTCCCATGTTTTTTTTTGTGTTGCCATAAGTTAGTTTCTCTCCGTTGGTGCGCGGGGCTAATGCTAATGCTAGCAAATACAATGGCGGCTTCACAATTTGTTTTTGTTTTACGGGCCGTGGTTTGCAATTCTCCCAGCCAATCGAAATTGGAACTTTTTTCTCCCCAGGAAAGTACCTGCTCTCTAGCAGGCACTGAAAAGGAGGAGGAAAGTTCTCATGAACCAAGTTCTCTTCTTGGTGTGAACGCAGAATCCCAGGAACTATCGTGACTAAAAGGGAAAGTACTCCGGTGTGAAAGCGCCTAATGCTGAAAGATTAAAGACAGATAGAAATGATGTGATGATCAGTGTTTTCTTACCGAAGCAGAATTCTGCCTTAGGCCTCAGCTTAGTGGCGTCGCTGACCTAAAGGAGGACAAAGAACACATTTGTCAGTTTACTCAGTAAAATCAAATACTGTCAATGAGTAATATTCATGCATAACCGTATCATGGTATCGTCAGTTGCACTTCAGTGGTCAAATGTATTCTCACCTTAGAGATGTAGGTGAGTTTAAGGGAGCCAACACACTCTGTGCCAACAGGCAGGTTCTGTGGGGGAAAAGAACAATACACTGTGTGAAAATAAATAAACTGAAAGCTAAAACTAGCTAATTACCAGCAGCTTTAGTTGTGAATCATATCATTTGTTTAGAGAGTGTAATCAAATACTGCAGAGGACGTCAATATTAAAGCACAAGTATATATAACTATGACATTTACTCCATGATCGTTTCTTTCTGTGCTTCTGAAACTACAGGATCCAGATTTAACATCATTAACATTTAAGCTTTTTCAATCTATAAAAAGAAAGAGACTTGCTGAATTATTTAAAATGGCTCTTGCACTACATGATTTATGAATACTTCATACAACAGAACACAGCATCTCCAAACCAGCATGATGTACACGCCAACAGGACAGTGACACTGTAATAACTGTTAACAGCTAAAACACAAATACACTGCTAGCCCTGACCTACTCCCATGCCTGTAATATGGGTCTTATTGCCATCAGCTAGAATTACATAATTGTACAAACTCTCCCATCCATGTATGACTATCTGGAAATGGAAACATTCAGCCTGTACTTAGTTTTGTGTTCATAATGAATGACGACAGTTTAGCTAGAAGTGGCCTGCAGTTACCCTGCATCGCATGAGAGCTAATCATCCACACTGTTCACTAACGTTAGCTGGGATGCAGTTGCCTGTACGTTTTACAATTGTTGTTTATTTGGCCTGTGCCGTTCTTTTTGGGATTTGCTCTCCAACATAAAGCTAAGAGCTAAGCTAACACCGCCCCGTGTAGTTACCTGAGGGTTGTCCATGAACCACACCAAGCTGCCCTGCTGCGTGTCCAGTATGAAGTATCGCCGCAGGAACTTGCCACTGCTCTCGCTCTCTTCGATGTCCAGGAAGCCACAGGTGCGGTTCTGTCGGTCCGTGTAAGGCATCTCGCTGCCGGGACATTCCCTGGCCTGCGGGGGCCGGGATTGGAGAGGAGAGGAGGGGGGGGGGGAGAAGCGGGACCGGGAAGAAGTCCTGAAGGACAGAGAAAGAGTGGAAGGAGAGATGTGTCACGAGGGGAAAAGAAGACTTGCAGTTGTCTTTGTGGAGAGGCTTTGCTAGTGCGACCTGCTCTCTCTCTTTCTCTCTCTCTCTCTCTGTATCTGCTGTATCTCTGCCACCTGGAGCACACTGGGCTGCAGCCTGCCAGAGGATCATGTGACACAAACCACAACCCCGCCTTTATCCTCTTATATCAGCCTCACCCACTCTCTTTCCCTCTTTTGCTCCCGCCGTGTCCCTCTTTCCCCTCCCTAAACACTCACTACACACTGTTACTCACATCTCCACCCACCCTGGCTTGCTCTTTCTTTTTTTTGCAGTCCTCTCCTCTCTCCTCCCAACTGCTCTCTCATCCGATTTGGCAAGCCTCTAGCCAGCCCCTTCTATCCCCTCCTTCTCTCCCTCCCTCCACAGCTGAGCACCCAATTGAGCAGAGTCGAACAAATATATATACGCCACTAAGCTCAGCCATGTTTGACACAAAGAAACAACTCAAACCCCCTGAGGAAAGAATGTGCAATATTTAACCTGACACATCCCTGAAACCTACAGCTCTCTGAAAATAAGCAAAAAAGTAATGATTATAGTTCATCTGTTTGGGCCTACGTGTGTGAATGCACTCATGTCAATGTCAAACCCTGAGTGGGTGGGTGCAGCATTACTGTGGGCATATTGTCGCATTGGACTGTTTAAGCTTCTGTGTTTTTTGGACCCACCCTAAAATATGTGATTGAGATGAGTCTTTGGAAAGCAAAGATAAAGACGCTCTTTCTCCAGGACATTATGAGCAGTGTGTGGGCGGATGGGGGCAAAGCAGGGACAAAAGGCCTGGTTGTTGTGCATGGACTCTGAGCTGAGAGCATCTCAGTTAGTCTCTGCATCTAACGAGTCATCACAGGCACGAGAAGAGAGCAACTCTGTCAGAGGCGACTATCTGAGCTCCGCACAAACAGTGATTGTTATGTGACCGTGAGAGACGTCTCTGTGGAGAGTTTAGTGATCCTGTAAATGAGGTGATGTGCACAAGTTAATCTGCATGCATGCCCATGCACTTCAGTGAGGCAGAATAGATGTTAGAGATAATGCAAAACAAACTCCTAACAAGGTGAAAGGCAACCCTGTTCCCTACTGCTTTTAATTCAATTAAACAAACATGTCTGTGGGCTGCCTTCAAAGTGTGGAAAAACATGTATACTAAGTATACTAATATTGGATTTATGAAGTTTTAACCCAAATTGATATGTAAGCTGACAACATTATGCCGGGATTAGTCAATCATTTTCTTATCTATAAAGGCATAGTTACCTCAGCAGTTAAGGAATAAACTCAGTTTGGTAGCTGGCTGATTGCCATGACTGCATGAAGTTCACGACTATTTTGGAATTGTCTTTGTAATCTTATCCCCATTAATACGAAGTTAAAAGACAAATTGACGATACAAATCCATAGAGATCTTACTTTAGGCGCATTCACACCGCAGTACTTTTCCCACAAAAGGTTGATGAGAACTCTTCAGTTCTCATGAGAACTCTTCAGTTCTCATGAACTAAGTACAGATCGCGTTCACACCGGAATAAGTCCCTGAGGGAGGATTAGTCAAATGAAGCCGCTGACGTCACTTCTTCTTCTTCTGCTTTGGGTTTACTGGCAGGCCGCAAACAACTTCACGCCGTATACTGCCACCCGAAGTCCCCAGCCGGAAGTCCCCAGCCGGAAGTCCCCGGAGTTGGGGACTGGCTTCAGTAGAAGCTGCTGGGACTCCCAGCAGCTTCTACTGAAGCCTTCCGAGTAAATCGCCAGAACGCCGACACCTCCTCATCTCCACCGCTCCCATGTTTTCTTTTGTGTTGCCATAAGTTAGTCTCTCTGCGTCTGTGCGCTGGGCTAATGCTGATAATGCTAATGCGAAGATAATAAAATGGCGGCTTCACAACACTTTTTGGGAGTTTTACGGGCCGTGGTTAGCATTTCGCCCAGCCAATAGGAAGCCATAGGAACCTTTTTCTCCCACGAAAGTACCTGCTCTCTAGCAGGGACGGAAAAGGGGGTAAAAAAGGTTCTGATGAACTCATTTTAGTTCCGGCTCTTTTTGGTGTGAACGCGACATTTCGGAACTAAAGTGGGAAAAGTACTGCGGTGTGAACGCGGCTATTTGGCTTTTTATAGATGTATTACTTGTGTTATCTATCCATTATGTTGAGGACAAATCCACACTATCCTAGTTTCTATTTGAGTAGTCTAGGTGTCATATCTTGGTTTCTGAAGCCATGATATGAGTTCTGAATGCTCAAGCACATAACCAGGATACTTTAAAAACAGATCATTGCCAGGTTACTAATGTACAAATGAACTCATTCTGTGTGCTCACAAGTAAGAGGTTAAAGACCAGCACTTCCTTTACGATGCAAGAAATACTGTAACAAGTAATACCGGAAAATATGCAGAGTCAGAACCATGAGACAGCAAAGATAAGCTCAGTCCAAGTCTTTACATTTACTGCAAGGCTTAGTCCACATCACATGCCGGCCAACTGGTCACACAAGACAAGTCATAAAACAACAGTTGGGACCAGCTGGGTTTCCTAGCAGAGGGTCAATAGTTTCTTTCCATGGTTTAAGGCTACTGCTGTGTCATCGAATCCAGACAACAGCTGGAAATAAATGTGAAGGAGAAGCTTAAATGTTTTAATGCCTACTTACAAATCACTAATCTAGGTGTTAAGGAGATCACATTTCATTGTGCAGTAAAGTAGTACTAACTAAGCATTTAGTTTGAGGAACAATGAAATCATTCTCTATGAGATTAATCACTGAGGTATAAATGTAAGCTTGATAAGCTTAATGTATTGGTACTCTACAGGTGAAGGGTGGGACAAGTCATTTCCATTAAAAAAAGAAAGAAGTAATTGTTGGTTAGAGTCTTTCTCTAAAGCAGGTTTTACAGGCTTTGGCCTTCATTTACTCAGTCAGGCGGGTCTTGTTTATCACAGCTAAATGCTCGTGTGGAGTTTTCATTTCAAGAGCTGCACAAAATGTAGATATTCAGTAGAGGGTTAACAAGTAGCACTGACTCTTGAATTACGACCTTAAACCAGTGGTGTAAAGTAACTAAGTAGATTTACTCAAACTCTGCACTTAAGTACAATTCTAAGAGACTTGTATTTTACTTGAGTATTTCAATGTTTTACTACTTTGTACTTCTATCCCACAATCATTCAGAGTTAAAAGTGTACGTTTAAGTATATTCTGACGCTAATACTTTTACTTTGAGTAATTTTGAATGCAGGACTTTTACTTGTAACTGAGTATTCCTACACTCTGGGACTTCTACTTTTACTCAAATACAATATCTGAGTACTTCTTCCACTTTTGCCTAAAACCGACGAGCTTCCACATTCTGAGCAGGTTAACGTTAAAATAACACTTTACGTTAGAATGACAGACAGCTAACGTCAGAATACCACAACACGTTGACAACATTAGTGTTAGCAGCATCAGGGACTCTGGCCTGAAGTTAACTGGGAAACACGGCTCAGGTTAGCTCGTTGTTAGCAACTACTGTTTATTCACGTCTCAAACTTGTAAAACAAAACATTCAAAATGGTATTCATTTGCCACTTAAAACTGCCACTCCTGTGCTGTTAAACATGCTGAAACCATACGTTAGCTAACGGGCTGAGAAGTATAGTCATACACGATAACCTAGCTACCGTTGGAGATTCGCCTTAGCTAGTCCCGTTAAATATAACTGGCATGTTTAGCTTCACGGAACCCATGTTTATTAGTTTATCTACTTGTGTTAAACATTACGGGTCATCTTACCCGAGTGTTCCCTCCTGTAACTGCTGAAGTCAGCGGGTGTTGGTCTCGGTGTTGTCGGGTCTCTGCCTCAGCCCATCTCCACTGATCGAGACAGAGCTGCTGCTGCTGCTATTGCTACTGGTGAGAGGCGAGCATAGATGGTGTATAGTGAAGATGATCACTCTGGCGTTTAAACTGGTTTAAACAAATATAGAATATGTGGTTGGTAGTAAGGGCCAAAACCAGGGGTTTGGAAAACACTCAAATCATAAATCATAAAACTAAACCCAAATTCAATCCCTACTTTTTAATATTTTGAGTTTTTACATCGCCAATAATGATTAGCCAACAAATATACTTTATTCTTATTCAGGGAATATTCATAAACTTTTAAAACTATTAATAATAATACCTAACATTTATTTAGCGCTTTTCCTGGTACTAAAAGACGCGTTACAAGTAAATTATAAAAAAAAGAATTACTAAATAAATAGTCCTAGAAGTCCTAGAACTGAAGTACATGTGTCTCTAATCAGCCTGTTATAATTATAATAATAAACTGGCACTAATTTAATTATTCTGCTTATTCTTAGACATTATCTGGAATATTGTCTGCTTACAGTAAGCAGACGATATTCCAGATAATGTCTGGAATATGCAATTTGCATATTCAACGTTTTTCAAATATGTGTTGCCCTGAAAAATAAATCAGAGTGAGAGTTCTTTCCCTTCTTTTGTATTACTTTAGTTTAGGACGTAAAGTATGAACGGAGCATTGGGTGTGAACCGCAGACTGTATTGTCTCAACATATGGAGAGCAGAGTGGGGACTTTACTTAGCGACATTCAACGTTTAAAAGCGGCCGTCATTTTGGTTTGTCTATCGGTAAGCCACTTTACAAATCAAATGTCCCTTTAAAGCCAGAAATCTAGGTGTAGTCATGGACTCTGACCTGAGTTTTAACAGTCACATTAAATTACTAAATCAGCCTACTATCACCTAAAGAATATATCTAGGATTTAAAGAGCATGCTTTTATCTTCAGTAGACTGGACTACTGCAATGGTGTCTTCACAGGTCTCACTAAAAAATCTATTAGAAAGCTACAGCTGATTCAGAACGCTGCTGCTCGAGTCCTCACTGACACTAAGAAAGTGGATCACATCACTCCTGTTCTGAAGTCTTTACACTGGCTTCCTGTGTGTCTTTTGATTTCAAAATACTGCTGCTGGTTTATAAAGCATTGAATGGTTTAGGCCCAAAATAAATGTCTGACCTCCTGCTAAATGATGAACCATCCAGAACTCTCAGGTCCTCTGGGACTGGTCAGCTTTCTGTCCCCAGAGTCAGAACTAAACATGGAGAAGCAGCGTTCAGTTATTATTATGCTCCAAATATCTGGAACAAACTCCCAGAAATCTGCAGGTCCGCTGCAACTCTTACTTTTAAATCCAGGCTGAAGACTTTTATTTTTGACGCTGCTTTTAATTGATATATTCATATCTTAAACTGCACTGTAACTTT